TGGATTACATTTTGCAATAAGGAACCACTATTTCTGGCTCATTTTAGAAACAATATATGTGCCATTAATTTCCCTATGAAGATACGTGCTTTTATGGAATAGCCAGAAATAGTGGTTCCTTTTTGCAAAATGTAATCCAATTATACTTTAGAATTTGACATTTGTGTTAAGCTGTCCGTTAGCAAGATGAACGAAGGTCAGACTCCGAATCCTCAATCCAATCCTCGCAAAGGCGTTGCGTGTGATAAAGGCTTCAGGCATAATTCTTATCGTGTCATGTGTTCGAACTTCGAAATGTAGATGTCTTGCCCATGTTGAGTGTGTCAACATGGACCCAAAACGCTTTCTTACCAAAATAAGAGAGAGTGACTGGACCTGTGATAACGTGCCGCGGAATATCGCCGGGGCAACAATTCACGATATCATCGTAATTAATAGATAAATCGATTGTCTACCCATTTCTATGAAACTCCGACTTACCGGTCCATCAACCGACAGTAGCTGAAGTTTAGAACGAAGTGAAGTTACTGCGTGTTTCAGTCAATGAGGCGTTTTTCAAGCTTGCTTCACAAAATAAAAAAACAAGTGATCTGCGTAAAACAATGTCCGATGTGGAGAATGAAAACGAGATGCTAAAAGCATATAGCTAGAACCTTTATCAATGGAGTCTGATGCTATTGAACAATATTCTCGGCGTAATACTCTTGAAATACAGGGTGTTCCTTTGTTTGCCCCTGTGGAGTTGCCAGAGCAGACCCGTGAAATTGTTATGAGTGTAAAAGCTCTCAATATTCGTGTCGGCCTGGATATGATACAAGGAAGACAGGACAAGTTGGTCCTATTTTGTGGTCAACCTAAATAAACTCGTGTAAATCTAAATCTAAATCTTCTTCCTCTTCCTCCTCTTTCTCCTTCTCTCTTTAATTTTTCTTCTTCTTCTCTCTTTATTTTTTCTTCGTCTCAATTTACTTTTTCTTCTTCTTCTTCTCTCTTTACTTTTTCTTCTTCTTCTCTCTTCTTTTTCGTCCTTTTCATTGCCGTGTTATTTTTCCTATTTTTTTTCCATCTATCTTCTCCTTCATCTTCTTTTCCCTCTCTCTTCATTTTTATTATTTTCCTTCTTCTCCCTCTTATTCTTCCTCTTCTTCATTCTCTCCTTTCGTTTCTTGTCTTTCTTTCTCCCCTTATTTTTCCTCCTTTTCTTTTCCTCTCTCATTATTTTCCTCTTTTCCGTCCTCTCCCTGCCCCTTTCCTCCCTTCTCATTTTTGACTCTCCAAATGCAGCATAGGTGCTGATGAGCCAGATATCATGGTTTCTTATTGCAAAACGGACTGCATTTTGCGACAAGGAACTAGGTACAATATATAGCTCATGTTAAAAGCAGCGTATGTGGTGTGCTATTCAATGTTCTTACGCAGTCTTATGCCTCAATCCTCTTCTTCCTCTCCTTCCTCGTTCTCTTATTATTATTCTTCTTCTTCCTTTTCGTCTTCTTTTTCTTCTTTTCTCTTTCTTCTTCCTCATTTTCTTATTCTTATTTCTTCTTTTTTCTTCTTCCCTTCTTCTTCTTATTCTTTATTTCTTCTTCTTATTCTCCATCTTCTCATTCTTCCTCTTCTTCCGCTTCTCTCTCTTTTTATTCTTATTCTAATTCCTCTTATTATTCTCCGAATTCTTTTTCCTATCTTTCTTTGTATTCTCCTTCCTCTTCTTCTCCCTAGTCTTCTATTTCTTCTCCTTCGCCTCCTGCTTCCTTCTTTTCTCCTTCTTCTTAGTCTTCTTCTACCTCTCCTTTCTCTTCTTGGAATTGAGTGGGTGACGAACGACAGGCCTCAGCACGTGCTGTTCCTAGCGCCAGGGGAACGGTCTTCTCCAGACGAGCCTACGTGGGTCCGTTTATTGGAGTCACTTGACGACCGCCCCCACCAAGGGCTTATACGGCGGGCGAAATCACCCACCAACGAGTCGGCCGGCATTTAGCACCGGAGACTCGCCCGGCGGCTTCGGAGGAGAGTCGGCGTCTACCACGATCGGCGAGCAGCCTCGCTAACCCCTCGGCGCCGAGGTCCGGGCCCGAGGCCTAGGAGTTTGGGGGTACACAGATAGAGAGAGCGGTATTGGCCTCGGGCTTTGCCCCGGCTCGTCAGCGGTGCGCCGTGAGGCGTGTTCCGCCCGCCGACAGGCTCGCTCCGTGTATCGGACTCGGGATTCTGTGAGCGGGTCGGTGCTGGTCGGCCCGCTTTGATACTTTGCGGTTTTGAGTTCCCGAGTCGTTGCCCCGGCAAGACAGCGGCCCGCGTCACCGGGTCCGCCCGCCGCCAAGCACTCGTAGGTCAGAAAAGCGCGCGCGTCTGAGGCGCGCGTCCGGCAGTCAGTTCCGATACGTGCTCCCTTTTCGATCACTCCTCGGAGTTCGAGACTCCTGCGGGCTTGGTCCCTGTCCCGGCCGGCGGATGACGCCGCCGGCTGAGTGAGAGGTGTCGCCGGGTGGCCCGTCCTGCAAAACCAGTCCTGACTCGACCCCCGGTCGGTTCACAGAGGGCTGCAATCCTTGACTCGTGTCCAAACGACAGGACGGAGTCGGAACCGTTCTGCTTGAACCGTATTCGGGCCTTCGGCCCAGGACTCCTAGGAAACCTGGGAATCCTGGACTGTCGTGACTCGAGTCATCAAGCCACGGTCGCTGCTAAGACCGGGCGGAACGCTAGAGGGTCCTGCGTTCGGCCTGTTGCTCCGCAGCCCTAGGTTTTTAGCGGCCTGCAGACTCGACAACCGTGAGGGGGCCTGTTTTGGGCCACGGCTGCCCCCCGCTTCGGAGGTTCTATTGGTACCCTTGAGCCGACCCCCGCGGACGGTATACCGACGAGATCCCTCTGTCCGCAGGGCGCTGGGTAAGTGGCTGATTTTTCCGAGCCCTCACTCGTTGGAGCCACGTTTTGGGGAAGGGGAGGGTGAGTCGGAACTTACGCACTCCGACTCGCCGGAGCGCCGTCCTGGTTGACGGCAGCCCGCCTTGGCTGGCGGGCCGAAGCTCGCGGCTTAGTGCGGGCCTTGGCGGTCGGCCTCTTCTACCCGGTCCGCTCCGGCACTTAGAGTTATTAAGGTATCGGCCGAGCGCTGTCGAGCCGACCGAGGCGCACTCTAGTCGGTTTCAACGTCCCGGCGCACATTGAAGGGCGAGAGGAGTGTCGGGTCCACGCTTCGGCCTAGGTTTCTGCCAATTCGCGAGAACGGGCAGACCGCGACATCCGCTCCCACCGCCTCCGACAGCGCTGTCCGCGCATCTTCGTCGCAAGTTGATAAGGCAGACATTTGAAGGATGCGTCGCCCGGACCGCGAAGGTCCGATGCGATCGGCCGGAGTTATTCGGAATCGTCCAGTGTGCACGCGAAGTGCTGGAGAAACCGCGGACCCGGAAGCCCGCGGTGTCGGTTTTGATCTAATAAAAGCGTCCCTGCCCCGGGCGAACCCGGGGAGTTGCCGGGACTCTATCGGCATGTATTAGCTCTAGAATTACCACAGTTATCCATGTAGGGTGTGGCACGATCCTGTGAACGACAACTGATTTAATGAGCCTTTCGCGGTTCCACCTTAGTTCGGCTGTTTCTTTTTCTTCTTTCTCCCCTTCTCTTTCTTCCTGCTTTCCTTCCTCTTTTTCACCTCCTTCGGTTCATTCTCTGTAGTCCCGCCTGAATTCTCCCAATGCAGATAGGTAGTTTTATTGATCAAATTGTAGTTCCCCCTTGCGAAATGTATTCCAAATGTAGTTCATATTAGATCGAGATTGGAACATTAAAAGAAACTTAGAAAGTCAGCAAATTTTATTTCACTTTCTTATTGATCGGTATTTCAGACTTGCGGTTTCCTGGTGCCATCCGAAGAAGATGTCGTCGAGGAATCACTTCCGCATTTGAGACCCCTCAAGGTAAGCCAATTCTCAGAAGTGAAAAATTGGTCCGGTATCCCGACGACGGCCGCCCAGTGTATCGAGTCAATAGGAGAGGTCGGACAAAGTTTGGAAACTTTAAAAGTTTATAACTCCGTTAAACAAAATTTTGAATTTCTAACAGTGGCTCCATTGGTTTCCCCGTTAAATTTTCACCTAGAAAAACTCCTTAAAATTGAAAATGTGATAAAATAAACAGCAAAATTTGCAGTTTTTGTTAAAAATCTCATGTCCGACCTCTCTGATTAACGCGATCCAATGCATGCCGGTCGTACCAAATTCCTGATTATTCTCCCTATTTTGCGATAAACCGAGAAGCATGTTGCAAAAATTAAAACACCAGTATTCGACCGATTTAATTTCTCACTGTGCAGAAGATTTATGGTTTCATAAATATATTTTCATAATCTTACAAATAAAAAACCGGCGGCATCGGCGTCGGTTCATTCAAATTCATGTCTTTTGAGACATCCTTATGGGGCTTTACTCTAGGAACTCAAATTCACCGATCCGCCTCGCCAACAACCCACGTTTATGTAACCAGACAACCAAATTTCGTATTTTCCATGTGCATCGGTTCGTTTTGGACCTGGCGTTTTTTCTTTGTTACTCTCAGGTAAAAGTCGAATTTTCTCGGAAACGAAAAGTCGTATTAAAACTCGGTCTGTACAGATTTCCGATCTTAGATAGCGTAAAAGAATTGCACTAGCTCGGGGCGGATTGAAGGAGGTGATTTCTCCGATGATATATTGGCGCAGGACTTAAGATATCTAACAAAATACCAATACCTCCAAGAACACTTATCCGTTTCCCGCTTTACTGGAGAAGGATAATATTACTGCAAAACAGTTTCCATTGCTGTCTCAGGGAATCTCCAAGCTGACGTAAGAACCGAACTGTCAGTCCCAGTTGCTGGCACATTTAACAATTTTTCTGGAACCTCACTAGCAGATAATTACAGTCCCTCGTCAGACCGAAAAACACACCGTACCCTCTTTTCCTTGTGTGTACCTCTAAAGTACATGAAATGACTAGTTGATGTACGGGCAAGTCTTATTAAAATTATTATTATTTATAAAATTCACGTCGTCTTCTAAATAAGCTACATTTTTTACTACAAAGGGCCAGTGTTAGGAGAACTGCTTGTTTTATCGCGCAGCACCTTCTCGTAAGAAACAAGTCCAATAATGTTTCCTTACATTAGTGACTCAAGCAACTAAACTTGCTTCAAAGGTAAGCTGGTTGCGTCAGAGACTGACTGAAGGGGACTCCCAGCAGAATTAACTGCCACTTCGCTCGTTGTAGTTCAAGGGCGCGCGCTTTAAACCCGAGTAGAAAGATTTTGAGATGGTCGCCACAAAACGGAAAACCCTAACCATTGGAAGATAGTTGCTTTGTTCTTCTAGGATCCGCGAAGCACAAAAACCGGTTTCCTAATATCCGGTATACTCATCGTGTAGGTATCTCAAATGCAGCAGTGAGCAACTGACCTAACTAAGAATTACTGGGTGGCATTTAGCTTAAGAGAGCTGCCAAAAATCTACTGTCCTTTTATGTAGCTGAGGGGAGCCAGCTGAAATTTTGAATAAAAACTTAGTTTTATAGTTGTGAGCTCAGCTGCGAGCATGTGTGATAATTAGGTATCAAAGGCTAAATGTGGATATTACTAGAAGCAGTAACGACCCCGTCAAGCCTATAGAGATCTCCAACCGAGAATGGGAGTCGCTATAGTAGCTTACACGAACTCGTTCAACTTTAGCTTTATTTTGAGATATCTCTGCGAAAACTTAACGGAACTCGAAACCCTGATGGTCGCCTCAAAACTAAAAAAACCCTATAACCATTGGAAGAGAGTTGCTTTGTTCTTCTAGGATTCGTGAAGCACAAAAACCGGTTTCCTAATATCTAATCTCTGCAGCTAAGACTAATATTTTCTCTTTTTCAATCAAATGTACTTACGCCTGTTTTTCATGCAACGTTCTTTTTAGGGGTTTTTACAAAAGTTGCATAGAATCACATATTATATGTAACTTCTCTTTTTATATTTTTTTATCAAAGTTGCATGGACCTTCATGTTTGTAACTACCACGTAGGGGGGCCATTTGAGGAGATAGAGCCCCCTCCCCCCCCCAAAAAAAAAAAAAAATTGGGACCTTATTTTTTTTAAAGATCTTTCAGGAAAACATTTTTATTTCAAAATCCCTAATCCAAAATTAATTCATGCATTAAAGGGTTAACTCTTTTTGGACGCATTTTGAGGCTTCTGTGACGCAGATGTTTCATTAATTTCTGCCGAAAAATTACGTTTATTTTCTTACTTTCAGCAAATAATGCGCTCGAATTGTCGCATTGAAAGGATTCGGAATTTTTTTGAAATATTTACTCTACTTGGACAAATTTTGACGCCTCAATGGTGAAAATTTTAGAAAATACCAAGTGAATGAACACGGCATTTTCAATTTAGACTCTACAAGAGAGATAATCATCCTCGACGAAGGTGTTTTCCCACAATCCAGAATTTCTTGCGGCGGGGGGTGCCTGATGATACTATTTTAAATTCTAGGGGGGGGGGGGCTGGCCCCTCCTTCGTATGCCACTGCTCTTTACTTACCCTTAATGAATTTTCTTCTTCCTTTTAGGCTCATCCCCATGTCTTGAGAAATCGGGCACCGTATGGAATCAATGATTTTGAAACAATGGTTAAGAATAACAATTTCATCGTGGACAAGACCCCATGGATCGCGGAAGCACTAACTGGACCTTGGTTGAAACTGATTACGCGACCCCGTCGGTTTGGGAAAAGCACGAACTTGTCAATGCTAGAAGCCTTCCTGACTAAGGATGAGAAGCTAGAAGCAATGAACTTATTTGCAGGTTTTAGTATCCAGAACGATACAAAGTTCGAGAAAATTAGGATGAACCATCAGCATAAGTATGCTGTTTTGCATTTTAATTTGTCAGGTTGCAGCTCCGTCTCTACGGCTTTGGAGTTTGAAGACTGGTTCCTTCGATACCTAAAAAGGGTTCTGGGTCGCAATCTTCGTCAGTACCGTCGGTTTTTGAAACCAAGAGAGGAACAATGGCTAGACAACATAATCGATGGAGACGGAAGCCTGCAGAGAGTGCTAGGAGGTTATCACATATTGACACAGATACTTCAAGATAAAGGTTACAAAATAGCTGTACTTGTTGACGAATATGATGCGCCACATCAATCGTCAATAAAACAAGCAATATCAGAAACTGCAGAGGGAAAGCGTTCCGTTGTTGGTGAATCGTATGCAAGAGCTGTAAGTTTGACGACATCCTTTTACACGTTTTTCTTCAAGAGCGGTCTACGAGTCCATGTGCATTGTGGTATATTGATTGGGATTAGTCTTATCCCAACAACTAGTCTCTTTTACGCTGATTTTCTTTCGAGTTTCGATGTGTACTCCACCGTTGATGATGATAAATTTGGACCCTACTTCGGTTTTTTGGATCACGAGGTAAAATGGCTGATTGATTCCGTGGGGACAAACTTATCATTTGAAGAATTAGAAGAGTGGTATGATGGCTACCACTTCGGCGCTAGTGTCGTATTCAACCCGTTTGCTGTTGTGTCAGCATTTCATGAAGGTAAGGTCGGTGATTACTGGGCAGAATCAGGCTCTCTGGAGATTATCAAACATCTTATTAAGTATTCAGGCAGATACGGTATACTAGACCTCCATTTTCTGCTTAGTGGACGGTC